GGTCTAACTAAAGAAGGATACAGGGTACTATTTCCTATTTAGATGCTCCTATAAGAGGACAGCTATAATAACTCTATTAGAGGTGTTAGTATCTAGTTTTAGAGGATATTTAGGATAGAAGTAAGCTAAACTTAGGATTACTAGTAGGGTATTCCTAAGTTAGTTAAAGGCTTGTTAGCATTCTAAAGTCTATATAAATAGGGTAGCAGGGCTCTAGAGAGTAGTTAAGGGCTTAGCTATCTTAGAGAAATTTTCTACAAATTACTAGTAGAATCTAGTAAATCCTAGGAAGGACTTTACTCTAGTTATTATCTTAAGAGCAGACTAGTTTTAGAGTACTTTAACTTTGTTAGGATCTACCTCTAAGCCTTTGCTAGTAAGGATATATCCTAGGTAATAGGTACAAGTTATATAGAATTTGCTTTTCTTAATATTAGCCTGTAATCTAGCAGAACAAAGACGCTTAAGGACTTTTTAAATATAGTCCTTGTAAGTAGTAAGGTCTTTAGAGTAGATAAGGATATTATCTAGATAGGTAATATAGAAGTTATCTAAATAATCTATTAGTATATTATTTATATAGCGCTAATAGGTTATAGGACTATTATATAGCCTAAATAGTAGGACTTTGCATTTATAGGCACTATACCTAGTGTAGAAATTAGTATACTCCTCTAAGTTAGGGTCTATTTAGATCTTATTAAAGGCAGCACAAATATCTAATTTTATAAAGATTTTTGCTTTAGCTAGCTAGGATAAAAGATTATCTATATAGGGTATTAAATACGCGTCCTTTTACGTTAAGCTGTTAAGCTTATAGTAATCTATATAGATTCTAAGGCCTCTATTTAGCTTCTTAATATATAGGATAGGAGAGGCGAATAGGCTCTAACTAGTCTTAATAAAACCTTTCTATAGGTGCTCTTATATATATTCCTTAGTAGCCTAGAGTTCCTTAGTATTTTAATAGTAGAGGGGACTATAGTAGTTTAGAAGGGGTTCCTCTAGGACTATCTTATAGTTATAAGGCTAGTAGATTAAAAGTTTATTAGCCTTAGCCTTGTTAAAGACGTCCTAATAGGAGTTATAGTTAGATAGGAGCTTATAGTCTAATAAGGTGTAATTAAGAGTATCCTATTTAGATAGGGTTTAGATCTAACACTTAATCTTATATAGGCTAGTAGTAAAGAATTTATTAGAAGATTTTTTTATATTAAAATAGAAAGTATTAGTAGAAATAGTAGCAATTTAAAATTTTGTAGGTAGGGTAGTAGTTAGTAGTTTAACTAGGGTAGGTAGTGTAGTAGGTTTAATAGCAGCCCTATAAGTATCTAGAAATTTAAGTATTCTACGTATCCTATTAATTAAACTAGGACTATTTTAGTTCTAATTCTCCTCTTAATCCTAAAGGGCGTCTCTTTGCAAGATACTATAGGTAACTAAAGTAGATAGGACTTGCTAGTAGAGTTATACTAGAATTAGAAGTGCGCGGTTATAGGTTAGAGGATATTTCTCTAGCTAGATTAGTTAAGATTTATCTATATTAACTAGGATTTAGAACTATTTTAGCTACTATTATCTAAAAATATAATCCTAAGAACCTAATTCTACTATTATAAAGGGGTAGTTATACACCTTTTAGCTACTAACTATTATACAAAGCTAAATATAGTAGGCAACTAGGGAGGTAATCTAATCCTAGAACCCTTTAATAGTAAGCTTATATAGTAGCTTTTAGATAGGTACCCTAAGTATAGAAGAAATATTATAAGTAATTTTTAAATTAATAAATAAGTAACCTTAGGCCCTAGTATCTACTAAAGCGTTTAGGCAAACACTAGATCTATTATAGTATAAAGTTATATATATAAGCAAATAGGAACTAATAAATAATTTAGTTAAGGAAAGGTTAGATAAGTTATATTAAGTTAGGCCTAGGAAGGAGGATCCTCCTAGGCGTTATTTTTTCCTATCTAATAGCTATCTAAATTAGTTAATTTAGCAGTTTCTTCTTCCTTAGAATTCTTAATAACCTATTCTATATCTATAGCCTAAATCCTAGGGGGTTTAGGGTAGTTACTAGAGAAGTGCCTAGGCTTTCTATAATTATAGCAAGTTCCTAGGCTTCCTAATATAGTAGCGCTAGGAGTAGCTAGCGTAGTAGATAGGGGTTAATTATTTTAAGGGGTAGTACCCTATTATTATAAATAGGGTATATAAGGTTTAGCTATTAAAAGTCTATTATAGGGTTTCTAATTAGTCTCTAAATAGGACTAGTTTCTAGAGTATTAGAAGGGGGTTAGTCCTTTTCTAAATAATAGAGTAGTCTAAGTAGGAGTAGATAAGGTAGGGTATAAGTAGTATTCTATATTAAAAGTAATAAGATAATCTACTATAGTTTTAAAGTTATTATGCTAGTTTTATTAAAAAGCAAGGTTTAGTATCCTTAGGGAAGGTATAATCTTTATCTAGAGGTAGTAATACTACTCTAATTAGGGTACTTCTTCTCTAATAGCAAGACTCTAGAATTATAATTTAAAAGTAGGGAATATCTCTATATTAGTTATATATAGGTAGTTAAATATAGTCTAACTCTTAGCTATCTTATTTCTAGTAATAAAGTAAGTTTAAAGGAGAGTAATTATTTCCTTAGCTTTTTAGAACTAAAGACTTAGGGAATTAGATAGGTAACGTGGCTCTAAGTATTCTCTTGCTAGTCCTAAGTAGTGTCCCTAGACTAACGCTATCTATACTATAGAAGAGGGGTAGTAATTAGTGTTAATCTGTAGCTAATCCTAAATAGACGCTTACTATTATCTAAAAGTAGGATTAGCACTATTACTAAGTATAGAGATATTTAGTATCTTTTTAGATTATCTATTAGCTTTTATAGCATATACTATAGGGTTTAATATAGAAACTAAAGACTAGCCTAGTTAAGTAGTACCCTATATCTCTTTATAGAGGGAGGTGTTATATAACTAATTAGTAAGTTATTTAACTTGTTCCTCTAACCTCTCCTTTTTAGATAGGGTTAATATATATTTATCTTTAAGGGAGGTATTACTTTATAGATTTCTTAGGAGTATAAGGTAACTTAAGAGATAGGTAGGAAGTAGGTCCTTCTAGGAGGGTGTTATTAATTAAGTCCTCCTTATCTAATTTCTTTCTATTAGTAAATAGGCTTTTAAAAGTAGCTAAACTAGATACCCTTCCTTTACCTTTGTGTAACATTTTGTAGTTAATAAGAATAATAAATCTCTTCTTTAGGGGGGTTAGTTATAGAAGGATATTAGCTTTGCCTCTAATTCCTCTAGGCTTTTAGTAGTCTCTAGGTCTCTACCTTAACGTAATCTAACGCGATTTTTCTAAAGGTAATCTAGCACTACCTATAGGTCTAGAAGTTTAAGCTTATAGGCTTTAGTTATTAGAAGTTCTAATAGCTATTCTAACTATAGAGTTACAGGGTTAGATAACTACTAGAACTAAATTAATAGCTTAAAATAATAATAAATGCGATATTCTTAAATACTATTACTAGCTAGGATAATATTCTTCTTATAATATAATAACTTAAGTAGGTAGGGTATCTAAAAGGTATCCTATATAACTTAAAGGTATATAGGAGTGCGCGTCTATATAGAAAAGAATAAGATTCCTATACCTATAGGTCTTGTATAAAAGGATAAGAAGAATATGCCTATCCTAATTATAGGCGAGCTGCTCTCTATATATATTAGTAAGTCGGGCCTTTGTCAGGCCTGACTTGGCATGGAACAATAGGCAAGCAATTCTGCCTTATTGTTACAGTTTACACCTATATAGTAAACCCCTAGCGTACCATTCTATAGTAAACAATTTTTTACCGTAGTGAGTAAGGCAAAGTATATAGTAAGATAAGATCGTTATGACCCATCATCTGCTATTTTGTCAAGTTATAGGGGTGATTGAAGACGAAGATCGGTATTGTGGTGTTTGACATATTTAACAGGATATTCCGATTCTTTCAGACATGAATGTCCTCACATCCTTAGCCATAACTTGCAATATACACAAATAGCCTGTCATATAAACCCACTTTTCAAGAAAGAGATTTAGAATCCTGGGCTCCTGATGGCTATGGTATCTCTCCAACTCGAAGGGTATTCAAACTGTCCTAATTCATTTCTCCTTCTTGCCAATTATAGATCCCCAAGACCAAAACCAAACTAATTCAACCCCCATTTTCAAAAAAAAAATTCTATCCAAAGCCATTGACCATCTACTGCGCTCCCTATAATCTGAAAAATCGCTTTCTATAATAAAAAAGACCGAAAAACCCTATTCAAACCTATCAAACATATCCCACATCACCCAGACAATCACAACCAACACCCATATCCCACACAGACATGAACCACCCATTCACCAAGCAAACAGTCTAAAACTTCCCAGCTAGGTCATCAGCTGGCAACTCTCTCCCTCCTCTCCCGCAATCCAGATTCCACTCCCCATTACGCATCGCAAGACTCCAACAATCACCTCAAATGGGACACACATTGAACAAAGCAGATTGAAAATTTTGCAGGAATATGGAATCTATCATAGGGAAAGAATATCTGGAGGGTAATATCCTACATACGAGCGTTTGTGACATGCGGAGTGGCATAGAAGCATTATGTTCCTAGATTTCTTTCTTGCAACATCTGACAAACGGTCAAAACCGTGTTGTCCCGCTCAAAGATATATTGAATTCTGGAAAATTCATGCTTTGGACCAGGTAAACCCGTCAACTTCCAAACGACAACGTTTTTAAATTTGAAAGACAAAGGCAGTTCATTGCCTTGAACATCGAAGGGGGGCTAGGGATGTGGCATTTAGAACGAGGATGAGGAAGGTAGCTAGTGTAACGGTAGATAGGCATTTATATTCATTCTCTTCATGTATTCTGAATTTTCCGTCGCCGTTCAATCTACCAACCACAACCTCCCGCCAATCCCAGCCTAAACCCTGGAGCAGCTTCAGCCAATATTAAACTCACTCGCCATACCCGCATGTCTCATAAACTTCTCACGTGCCCGCACAGCCTTCCTCATCTTGGCCGCCTCCTCTGTATCCCCACTCTCTGGGAGATCCAAATCCGCAACCTTCCGCTTCGACACGCCATTCGCCGCCGCAAGCTCTGCCTTGCGACTGGCACCATCCACCTTTGCGCCGCCACTGCCCCTGATCTTCGCGGGCGTGCGGTCGTTGCGTCCAGCACCTGTACGGAGGCCTGGCACCTTCATGCCAGACGGTCGTTCACGGAGCGCAAAGGCCTTGGCAAGGTGTCCGAGATGGAGAGATTTGATGTCAAAGTATTTCCGCTCATCGGCGACATGCGTAGCGTAAGCTCGCACATGACTTTGGAACGCGCGGCGTGCTGCCTCGAGACGGGCAGGGGATGCAAGAGCCCACCGCTCGATGTTGAGCTGCAAATCGGTGGCGAGATCCATGTAGGCATTTTTGCCCGGTACGCCGCTGGTCACCAGTCCGCGGTTGAGTATTTCATCTGCCTCCTGGCGGGAGATGTGGACCCCAGCTTCTGTGTCTTTGCGGTCGGATTTCAAGACCTCGACGTAGCCTTCTTCGCATCCAGGCATCAGAAAGATGCAGGCGCGGCCATCACGACCGGCACGTGCTGTTCGACCAATACGGTGGAGGTGGTCTTCTCGCGCAAAAGCAGGGTCAAATTCTACGACTAGGTCCACGTTGGGAAGATCGAGACCGCGAGATGCGACGTCGGTGGCTATGAGGACGCAGGGCTCTTTGTTTTTGGCGAAGTGGGCGAGGGTGGAGGTACGAAGTGATTGTTGGAGGGAGCCGTGGAGACGGTAGGCAGTTACGTTGTGGGTTTTGGTAGAAAGAATGGGTGCAATTGCGTCCGTCACGGAGAGTTTGGTGGGATCGGATTGCAGAGATGCTTTGGTCTTCTTGGGCTTTTTGTTCTCAGTGTCTGAGGAAGAATCTGAGGTATCTCTAGTCTTCTCTTCGATTTTGTCGGAGTCGGGTGTCAACTTGCTGGTGAGGATGTCGAAGTGGAAGTCCACAGAGTCGGCGCAAGACATGAAGACTATGGCCTTCATCACTGACCCTTTCCGTGCGAATGCTCGTTTCAGATAGCTCATCAACGATACCAATCGTAGCTTTGGTGCCACTACGGCGTAGGATTGCTTCAATTGTGCCGGCGCGAAGAAGCCTTGCTCTTCTCTGGCTTCGCCCACCTTCTGATCTTGCTCTGACGGGTCTGCTCGAATGTGCACAGCATCTTTCAAACTGATTTGACCAAGCCGCTCGACATCCATCTTCATGGTGGCGGAACAAAGCACAGCTGTACGCTTCTCTGGCAGTCCAGGGATTCTCTGTTGGCCGATTTTTGTTGCGCGCATACGCAGATTCAGAGCACCGACGATGCGCTGAATGTCTTGTTCAAACCCAAGCTCCATCAGACGATCACCTTCGTCCAATACAAGCCACCTCACGTTGCTCACGTCCAGCGTCTCCGTGTGCTCAAGGTGATCCAGCAATCGACCGGGTGTTGCGACGAGGATGTTGATGCCTTTTCGCAACCGCGCTTTCTCTGACTTCTTCTTCTCGCCACCAATGACTGTCGTAGCAACCAGCCAATGTGCGCAGCCTAGAAGCTTTTCCAGTACAAGGGCAATCTGTTTGCTCAACTCGCGTGTCGGTGCCATGATGATAGCGAATAACCCCGAGCTTCTCTGTACATTCTTGTCCGCCTGCTGCTTCTTCAGGTTCGCCGACAATTCCATGAGTCTTTGCACGATCGGTAGCAAGTATGCCAATGTCTTTCCCGAACCAGTCTCAGCCTGTATGAAGGCATCTGAATCATCCTTGACCAACTGTGTTATCGCCGCCTTTTGGATAGCCGTAGGTGCCTTCAACTCCATCTTTTTGAGCAAATGGGCTGCGAGGGTCGTGGATATGCCAAGGGAGGTAAAGGTGGCCAGCTCTTCGCTGAGCGGCGCATTCGAGGGTTCAACGGGCGCATCGTCTGATGGTTGCTCCTTGGCTTCAGGCTTCGTTTTCGAGACGGGGTTGTAGGTGAAAAGCGAAGAGATGACCTGCTTTCCTCCCTTTGGCGCACTCTGTCTCTCCTCCGACCTCTTGGTTGCACCAGGATTTAATTGGGGTCTGAAATCGCCGTCTGCACCCTTCTCGGTAGCTCGAGGCTTGAAGTCTCCGCTGACGCGCGCCTTCTTTGCCGGCCTGTCATTCAACTCTTCCGGCTCGGGGCTCTTGGATACTCGCGCCTTCCTTGGCCCCAGCGCTGTGCGATTCACATTCGTTGCCTCTTGCGTATTTGATTTCCTTGGAACACTTGGTATTTTATCGCCCGTCAATCTTGCTGTGGCCTTTGCATGCCAGTTCTGAGCCGCCTTCTTCGCAGAGAGCCGATCTTTCCAGTTTCCACCTTTGATACTCGGTCTCGCAATCAGTCCGGTTTCCGGTATGGAGAAGTTAAGGAGCATGCCATCGTCCGCCATGGTACTGTTTTGTCTTGTTTAATCTTTGTTGTAGTTAGTGGAGAAGTCTGGTGGGGCGGCAGATGTTCAGGACATAGAAATCTCGAACATGGAACTTTTAAGTGGGACACTAACGTGATCCACCACCGAGCGCCCACCCCTACCGAGCGCCCACTAACACCAAAATCACTAAATTTTCAACACTAAATTTCTTAACAACTATGGCACCTATTAATAACGCGCTTGCAGCAATTAAATCCTTAACTCTTAGAGAAGATTTTACATACTTAGAAATAGTAGAAAAGTATAGTTACTTATAGTTAACCTTATCTAGACGCTACTAGAAAATTTAGCAGGCACGTACTACTACTCTACTAAATAGTTAAATACTTAATACTATATAAGAAAGTAAGCTTATAGAGTATATTAAAGAGCTTTATAGGTAAGGATTACCCCCTATATAGACTATTATTTAAAATTTTATAACTAAAATAATAGGGAATCTAGTAAGTAAAAATTAGGTATAGCGCTTTATTAACTACTATAATATTAATCTTATCTCCTATTAGGCTACTAGGCTTAATTATAACTACTTTAAAGCTAATTCTACCTTTAAGTATAGCTTATACTTTAAGCTTTTATACTAAAAAATAGAGTAATATAATATTAAGAGTTAGTATATCTATAATATAGATAAGAAGGGTTTTCTTATTAGAGTACTATTAAAAACTAAATATATATTTAATAAGAGCGCCTATAAGTAAAGAAAGATTAGAGCTATACTCTAGGATAGTAATAGGGAGTAGATTACTACTATAGCTTGCATATACGCTAATAGTACTACTCTTACTCCTACCCTTATTTATTAGTCCTAATCTAGAGCTCTATAGGATACCTAGTTATAAGATTTTAACCTATTATAATACTAAGCTTTCTTTATAGGATTACTAAGTAGGTAGATAAGCTATACCCTAGGGGTATCCTAGCTTAAGGAGGTGTTTAATTACAAGATAAAAGCTAAAGCTTATACTTTATACTAGCTCTTTATCCTTAATAGCTATAGATCTTATATAATAATAGAGTTTATTAAGTACTATAATAAATATAAGATCCTACTTATAATATATCCCCCTTATAGCACTTATACCCTTTAGCTACTTAATATTATAGTATTTGCTCCCTTTATAGCTTTATATAAAGCTTAACTATCTAGTTTTCTAGATAGCTCCTAAGGGCTTACAAGTATTACTAAGAGGGATTTCTACTAGTTATTTAATACTATATAGAGCAATACCTTTAAGGAAAAGCTAATATTAATAGCTTTTAAAGTAATAGGTATCTTACTACTTAACCCTAATATTATCCTTTTAAGGTTTAAAGCACCTATAAATAATAGTAACTAGCCTTCTTTAAGTAATAGTATAACCTTAATATTAAGTGTAAGTAATTAGAGAAAGATAGAGTAGTTACTCTATAATACTATAATTAATATCTATAATAAATAGTTAAAGAAGCTTAGCTAGATAATCTATACTATATTAGTAAGAAATACTTTACTTAACTATAAAAATAAACACCTAAGGGCTACCCTAGCTAATAAGAAGAAGCGTAGGAAGTGTAGTAAACCTCTATTATTACCCCCTAATAATAATTATAGTAGTAGTGCCTAATTTATTTTACTATTAAAGGTAGAGCAAGTGTTTAAGCTCTAGGAGTAAAAGAACCTTAAAGAATAGGAGCTATAATACTAAAAAAGTAAGGTAATTAAGCTTTATAAGTAATAGAAGCTTGCTAAAGCTTAACTTATAGAGGAGTGTTACCTAAATTAAGTAATTACTAAGAAGGAGTAGGAGGAGAAAGCTACCTAAAAAGCTACTACACGTAATAAGCAGAAAACTACTAAGTAACTAGAAAAGTAACTCTAAAATAATATTAAAACGTCCTAAATAGGTAAGAGGCAAATCCTTAAGCCTCCTACTATTATACTAGCTAAGGTAGTTAATAAGGAGCTAGTAGAAGAGGATATAGTAGTGGAGGCAACTTTATAGCGTAGGCGCCTAATTAGACCCCCTAAAAAGCTGCTTATATAATCTAAAATATTTAATCTACTCTAATAGATCTAATAATCGCGACTCTAAGAAATCTCGTGATAATAGCTATTGTGGGTGGCGCAATATCCTCATTTAGTGGGTGGTGGATTTTAGTGTTGGTGGGCGCTCGGTGGGGGTGGGCGCTCGGTGGTGGATCACGTTAGACTGCACGGGGTCATACCGCTCATGGGAGACCATTATATACCCAGTTCCCAGTGCAGGTTCGTCACTATACTGCAAGTAGTTCACTTCTTGTCTATAGAGATATCAGATCGTTTATCGATGCAGGGGTCATAAGACTCTGCCGAATGAAAGCTGTAACGTTGTCACTCCGAGATATCAAACATGTCCCTCATGGTGAGACGCTAGACCCCATCGGGCCACGAAGCCATGATAGCACCTTCAGCGCAGCTACGAGTATTCCTGGCCATATTCCTGGCATCACGAATATGACACCCATCTCACGTGTATCCCGTCCAAATCACCGCCTGGGTGAGCGGTGCCACTGCCAGGTCCTCAACCGCCCGGAGACGTGATCTCTGATGCTCAAGTCGCCCAGTCTCCATCCCTCCACAACCTCCTCGCAATGGCACACATGCGATGCGCCGCTGGTAAATAGCCTCACAAGAGCAATTGAAGCCCAACTAAGCGTGAACAGTATTTCCAGCGCGCAAACACCTTACCTCGAGCTTCACGCGCGCCGTGCGAGCCTCCGCAGCCCAGCCCAACCTGCGCTTTTTCTCTACGTGCCCGTCTCTGAGAAGCGCATCGGCTTCCACGCCCAAGACACACATATTTCACCATGTAGCACCGCTGAGGACATATCGCCGAGATCTACTGCTCAATAAGCGTACCGTTGGCCTCGTGCCTACCATGGGCGCCCTACACGAGGGGCACGCATCCCTCGTCCGCCACGCCGCAGCCGAGAACACAGACGTGTTTGTCACCATCTACGTAAACCCGACGCAATTCGGGCTGAACGAAGACCTAGCCTCGTACCCAAAGACATGGGACTCGGATCTGCAGATGCTGCACAAGCTCGATGAAGAGCTGGCGAGCGCAGGCCACGGGCGCGTCACAGCCGTGTTTGCGCCCAGCACCAAGACCATGTATCCTACACTGCCTCCAGACAGCAGCATCCCCGGTGTCGGAAGCTTTATTGAGATGCGCCCGCTCGGCCAAGTACTCGAAGGCGCCTCACGGCCCGTCTTCTTCCGCGGCGTAGCAACCGTATGCATGAAGCTCTTCAACATCTGCACGCCCGACCGCGTCTACTTTGGCCAGAAAGACATCCAACAGACCCGGGTCATCAACCGGCTGATCAAAGACTTCCATCTTGACACACAATTGCGCATCATCCCCACATCCCGCGAAGCAGACGGCCTCGCGCTCTCCTCGCGCAACGTCTACCTCGGCACGCGCAGGCGCAACATGGGCATCGTGCTGTACCAAGCGCTCCGCAAAGCCGAATCGCAATACCGAGTTGGCAAGCGGTCCCGCGGCGACATCCTCTGGCCTGCCGTCGACCACGGAAACAAGATGGTGCTAGAGCAGGAAAGGATGGAGCCGGGTCAGCGCGCCCTGTTTGAAGTCGACTACCTGAGTCTCGCGGATCCCGACACCATGGAGGAAATCGACCATGTGGATGAGACCCGCGGTGCGATTCTCAGCGGAGCCATCAAGATGCTGCCGATTGAGGAGGCTCGGGACGGGGAAGAGCTGGGCGTTGGAGAGGGAAAGATTGCGGTGAGGTTGATTGATAATATTGTGTTGGATGCAGTGAAATGACAATGTATATCATTCTTCTCCCCCATGCCATTGCCAAATCTTGGGTGTGTGCATCTGGATTGTCCCATTGTGACGTGGAACAGAATGTTGCAAGTTGGAACCCAATTCCATCTACTCTACACACTCACACAATACGCCCAATACACATCCCCATCCCCAGCCTAACCACTTCCGAACTTATCCCAACCCACTCGACCCCCAGTCCCAAATCCCAACCCACCAGGGTACTCAACGCGGCCAACACGGTCCTAAGCCAACGAGGATATAAACAAGGCGGGCGACCAGGTTTGCTATAGCTAGTCGTACAGTCGTATGAATTGCTCGACTGTACGGTTCGAGTATTTTCTTCATTTTGAGACACAGGCGCACACACACACACACAGAGAGAGAGAGAGAGAGACAGAGAGACAGAGACACGGATTTGGTTTTTGATTATCAACGATACAACGGTCGTGTACGACAAACGCCCGAGCTGCGATTCCAGGGCGCTTTTGGTATGCGGTGCGGGATGGGAAAGAAAGAGGGACACAGGGACACAGGGACAGGGTGTGATGGCAGGAGGGGAAATGGCTGGATAGTGCTGTTGCTTGCGAGACAAGACTGAATGGTTACATGTCTGCTGTGGTGCTTGCAGTCTTGGGATAGGGGGAAGGGGGGAAAAGACTTGAGTTCCAACTCCAACCATCCAATTACCCCGCGCTTCAAAGTATGGGGTACCCAGTCTGCGCAACCGGCATTTTCCCCCGCAAATCTGCATGTTGTGGCAGTGGTTTTTGGAGGGTGCGGTGTTGGGTGTTGGGCGTAGGGCTCCATGGTTTTGTGTGTGTGGAGGTAGCTGCTGTAGGACAGATTGTGGATATTTGCATCGTCTGGCTGGATGTTTTCCAACGAGGATGGACGTGGATGTATGCACCTACCTATCCATCCAAGTATGTCTCCGTGTCAGGGCTATTCAACCTATTCTCCCACACTCGAGTCTCGACCCGGCCAACAATGGAAACAGGAGTACCGGTACCAGGAAAAGGAAGCCGGACACTTCAGCTTACTCTACCCAGGCGATTCGTTGGTCTCACCAGTCGTCCCACTCCGCTGCCCCGCGTTTTCTGAAGCTTGTTCGACATGGACATCCACAGCCCCGCGGTGGCTAGGGCTAGGAGGGCCTCGGTTCCAAGGATGTCCGCTTGGTCAAGAGGCAGGAGCCGCGTGCAGAGAAAAGGCCGAGTGGCGGGGGGGGGCATGGCGACGAATGATTGGTCAATTGGTTGTTGCCCAACAACAGCAACAAGTGAGGAGCTGGTCGAATGGAGGTACTGTTTCTTGGGGTGAGGGGGTAGAGGTTTCAGTCCTGCGTCCGATCGACCGAAGCTGGATTGTTTGGGGGGTCTGGCTTTCCTGCCGAATTCTTTTGCAAGTGAATGGTACCGGTATGTACAGTACCGGTAGGGGATGACAGCTCGCCAATGGGCTACTCCACCGGTAGATGATGGGAAGGAGAGAGGGAAGGCATGACTAACCACCCTCACAGATGACCACTTCCCAACCAATTCCACACACACGCACACACACACACTCTCTCTCTCTCTCTCACTCAACCATCACGATATCCTGTCCTGTTCCTCGAAACCCCCCTAAAAAAAATTAAAAAAAAATTAAAAAAAAATAAAAAAAAATTAAAAAAAAATTAAAAAAAAAACACTCTTACCGAGAGAATCTTCACCTGGCCGCACGAGACCAAAAAATAGAAAAATAAAGAAACGCTCCCCTAGCAAAAGGGAAAAAAAACATCAGGAGACATCATGTCCCAAAGCAGCAAGGCGGGCTTTTTTGTTGGCGTCAGAAGAAGTAAGCCCCTCACACCACACACACGACAACATACATGGCACAGGATGTAGGAGCAAGCATGCTTGGACGGCAATGGTGCAAGCCTAGTCTGGCTAATCAGGCCACCACGGCTTCTTCTTCTTCTTTTCCTCCTCCTCCTCCTACACCACCCGCCCGTCCTGCGACTCCAGTCTTGCCAGGTGATGGCACAGGCCTGAAGACAGACTCTCTCTCTCCTTTGGATTCTCTTTCCACCCATCCGATGCAGCATCATCCGATATGTACAGCTACTACTATCACAGCATCTACCACCATACCTGAACTGTGCAAGTTGATCCAATGACCCCACCCATGTCCTCGTTTCCCCATCTTCGAAATGGGGTGACTAGGTACGCATGGGGCAAGTGTAGGCTCCATGGCAAGGCCATCAAGCTCCGGCAAGCCGGGCGGCAGGACTGATGGGCGCCTGGGTGGAAGGAGCTCGTCACTACATGTGCCCTGTCTGCTTTTGCTGCTGCTGCTCTTTTGGTGCAAATCCGGTAAGGCGGGTGGTGAGAGTCTGACCCTTGATCCTACCGCATCCATACGGTTGGCCGGGAGGGGCAAAAGAAGGGTCCTTGGGCTTGCTGGGACTCGGCCTCGTCTGACTGTAGAAGTTCGGGGAGATGGTATATAAGGATGGTGTTGTTTGGGAATGACTCTCAATTCCAATTCTGATTTCCACTACTACCACTTCTACTACTACTACCACCACTACCACTACTACTACTACTACCACTACCACTACTACTACTACTACCACTATCAACTTCATACTTCTCACCTCTCCCTTCTCGGCTTTCAAGCTCCCCCATCTTCCTTCACATCCACCACCACCACCACCACCACCACGCCAACCAGCATGAGTGTCCCAGAAATCCCAAAGGAACAATGGGCCCAGGTCATCGAAAAGACGGGCGGTCCAGTCGAGTACAAGAAGATTCCCGTCCCACAGCCCGGCCCAGATGAAGTCCTCGTCAACATCAAATACAGCGGCGTCTGCCACACCGACCTCCACGCCGTCAACGGCGACTGGCCCTTGGTACGTCTCACATCGCCATCCTCTCCCCCAATCAACCAGCCCACTAACCAAAACCCCCCCCCCTTCCTTCTCAGGCCACCAAACTCCCCCTCGTCGGCGGCCACGAAGGCGCCGGCATAGTCGTAGCCCGCGGCTCGCTAGTAAAAGACATTGAAATCGGCGACCACGCCGGCGTAAAATGGCTCAACGGCTCCTGTCTCTCCTGCTCCTTCTGCCAAACCGCAGACGAACCACTCTGCCAATCCGCCCTCCTCTCCGGCTACACCGTCGACGGCACCTTTCAGCAATTCTGCATTGCAAAAGCCGCCCACGTCGCCCGCATCCCCAAGGAATGCGACCTCGCCGCCATCGCCCCCGTTCTCTGCGCCGGCATCACAGTGTACAAGGGTCTCAAGGAATCCGGCGTCCAGCCGGGTCAGTGGGCTGCTATTGTAGGGGCTGGAGGTGGGTTGGGATCGCTGGCGTGTCAGTATGCAAAGGCGATGGGGGTGCGTGTGATTGGCATTGATACGGGAGAGGAGAAGAAGAAGATGTGTATGGAGCAGTTGGGTGCGGAATCGTTTGTCGATTTTGCCACGTCGAAGAATCTCGTGGCTGATGTGCAGAATGCTACGCCCGATCGCTTGGGTCCTCATGTCGTCATTCTCGTCGCTGTCAACGAGAAGCCGTTTCAACAGGCGGCCGAGTATGTTCGTCCCCGTGGTACCGTCATCTGCATTGGCTTGCCTGCGGGCGCCTATCTCAAGGCTCCGGTGTTTGAGACTGTCATCAAGATGATTCGCATCCAGGGCTCCTATGTCGGTAATCGCAAGGATAGCGCAGAGGCGATTGAGTTTTTTAGGCGTGGGCTGATCAAGGCTCCCTACAAGATTGTCGGCCTGTCTGAGCTGCAGATGGTCTATGACAAGATGCATGCCGGGGCCATTGTCGGACGCTACGTCTTGGATACTTCCAAGTAAATGACGGACCGGTTCAATAGACAGCCAGGCAAGCAAGGCAGGCAGGGAAAGAGAGAAGCAACAGACGGATCAATGTAGCTTCTCCTGTATATACTCGCACATGTATCAAATTCAACTTCACATAAGAAATGATTCAACGACAATGACGAACATCACATTCATTCATCCATTCACAAGTGGCCAATGGCAACCATCTTTCATCGGGTAGTAGTGACGACCATCTTTCAACGGCAACTAGTATCATACGTAACAGGGCAAAGCTGAATCATCATTCCCTTGGATCTCATGTTGTTAACCTACTGCACCATGACATCCGCAGAGTCCCCATTGCTACCATTGCTCCCCATCGGCTTCTCATCTGCCTCCTGCAAGCCAAGTGACAGAACCGGAGGAATGTCCTTGCCTGCAGCTCTAGCCTTGGTTTCCGCCCAGTGTCGCAGGCGCACTAGGCTGCGCATCCTCGCCTCACCATGGGCACCAAGGCTAGTCAAAATGGCTTCATTGACCTGGCTCGCCACCTTGCGACGTAGAGACGGTTCCAGCAACTCCGTCAGTTCCTTTTGAAGGGAACTAGCAGGTGCAGGCAAAAAGATAAGCAGGGACATAGTGAGCTCTAAGTCTTTCAAGAATTCCTTGTTGGTAGCTGCGCGGGGAGCGAGTTGCGATGACGCGAAGCTGAGAGCAGGGGTGATATCCGATGTTGCGGTTGCAGTGCATGTCCGAATCAGCTCAATGAGTTGAAGACGGAGCAATGCAAAGTGAAGAGCGGGATCGGTGTCGAGAATCTGATTTGCGGTCAGCAAGGCTCCATAGAAAAACATGTGAAATCAAATGAGTTGTAAGCTTGCAATCATACTGAGGACTGAAGGTTTGATTATCATCAAATTGGATTATGCGTGGTGCATGAAACTGAATTTAATCCTGCAAGGTGGGTGTGCCGACGGACGAGATTGAATGCATACCTGGGGGTTTAAATCATTAATCTTGGTGATGGCGGTATCAATGTCGCCTGCATGAATCGCCTGACGTATTTCTACGCGTGACTGAATGGACTCCTCTTCAAGAGGTAGCCGGATGTTCGCTTCCTTTGCGAACTTCTCAGCGGCTCTAGGGTAACCTTCGCTGACCAGGTAGTCCATAATGACAAAATTAATGTCTCTGTGATAGGTACGTCAGCATGGCTGTACCATAGAGCAAAGAGGCTCATAGATGCGAAGCAGTGCAAGACAAGAAGTGTCGTCGGCAAGATCAGAGATAAAGTTAACATATTCTCCACACGTTGTTTCGGAGAGATTCCCAACTTTTTTGAGATCATCATGTAAAGGTGTGGAAGCAAAGGAGAGGAGCGGTACTTACGTCTTTGACGGCTTGATGCCATCAATTCTACGTTGGAAAGGATGTTGCGTCGGCGTCGCAGCCGACACGGAAGCGGTGGATGAGCTCTGTGACTGTGTTAACATGTGCAGGGAGCTGCATAGCGAGAGCAGTGCGTACCATGATGAAGCAAAGACGCTCAGCATCTTCATCCGACGTCCATTAGTGGGAGCAAGGTGCTTCCCGACCGCAGTCGAGTTTGCTGAAGACAACGCAGAGTTTGCGGTTGCAGAAGTGGAAGCTGGCAAGCTTCGCGCGCAGAAGAGAAAGACAGCTCGATGTTAGCGTGCCTTGGCAGATGCACTAAGCGAAAGTGTTCCAGCGTTAGCCCGCTTCTTCGCGTGGGGCCGCCCGAGGCTCTCGTTGACTTTCAGTGGACGAAAACCATCCTGCAGGCACTCTCTATATCCTTCTTCCTTTATATTTTTATATTTCGTTCTTTTCCAAAGTCTGTTACAGCATGGAATAGGATTATTCCACGAAACTTCTTCGAAACCAACACAGTCACAGCGATGTCCTCGGCAGGTCGTCGAGTACACTACTCACCACCATGGGGCAACGCCAGCATTATTGGAGTCGCTGGGAGCAGTGGGTCAGGCAAGACATCGTTGGCAATGGCGATAGTGGCATCTTTGAACTTACCCTGGGTCGTTATCTTGAGTATGGTCAGCAAGAATGCATCGAACACTGTCACGTGCTCGTCAGGCTAATTGGGTATCCCAGGACTCGTTCTACAAGCCTTTAACGCCAGAACAATCAGCGGCTGCATTTCGCAATGAGTTTGATTTTGATTCTCCCAATGCAATCGACTTTGACATATTGGTGGAGAGACTGAAAGATATCAAGAATGGGTGAGATCTAGCCAAACACTACTTGGAGTACATGGCTGATATGACTAAAGCAAGGTTGCTGAAGTACCAATTTACTCATTTCAAAAGCACGCGCGGCTAGAGAAAACCACGACAATCTATTCGCCGCATGTTCTCATCTTGGAGGGAATTTTCGCACTCCATGATCAGCGGGTTCTGGACCTGTTGGACCTCAAGATCTTCGCTGAAGCAGATGCGGACCTCTGTCTGTCAAGACGACTGGTTCGAGATGTCCAGGAACGTGGCCGTGATATTGAGGGTTGCATCAAGCAGTGGTTTGGTTTCGTCAAACCCAACTTCTACAAGTACGTTGCACCACAAAGGGAGATAGCCGATCTTATCATCCCGCGTGGTATCGAAAACAAGGTTGCCATCACCATGGTCAGCAACCAGGTGCGACAGACGCTCGAGCATAAATCCATCGCTCATCAAACAGAGCTCAGGCGTCTTGGCAAAATTGCGGAGGACAACCCGCTCAGCTCAAATGCCATTGTGTTGAAACAGACGAACCAGGTCATCGGAATGCACACTCTACTATTGGACCCTGCAACTTCAAGAGAGGACTTCGTCTTTTACTTCGACCGTATGGTAGCTCTACTCATTGAAACGGCTGCAGACTTCCTCCCATTCGCTCAGCATAGCGTGACTACACCACAAAACCATACCTATCAGGGTCTGACCAAAGCTGCTAAGGTCAGTGCCGTGGTCGTTTTGCGCGGTGGTAGCGCTTTCGAAACGGGTCTTCGACGCACGATTCCCGATTGTATAACGGGTAGAATACTTATTCAGACCAACTATCGAACTGGCGAGCCGGAACTACATTACAGAGCTTTGCCTGTGGACATCGCTCAACATGGCCTCATTCTAGTTTTAGATCCGCAATTCTCATCAGGTGCGGCGGCTCTCATGGCTGTAAGAGTTCTAGTAGACCATGGGGTCCCCGAGAAGAAGATCGTCTTCGTCACGTATACGGCAGGTCGTGTCGGTCTGAACAGAGTCTTGAGCGTCTTCCCCGACATGAAAATTGTTGTGGCTAGATTGGGAGATGATATGGAGAATCGTTGGGTAGAAACTAAGTACTTGGGATGCTGATCAGGCGCACCAAGTACGAAATCACATATCACAATCGCCATCTTCATGGCGAGTGAGCCGACATATATATTCAACGTGTGAAATGCGACATTTGTACCACGCAAAATGCATGTATATGTACGATGGGTATCATAGGAAGTACTCGGTCGTCACCTCTTTCCCTTGTTGCTGCTGCTGCTCGGCTCGGTGAACGTCGTTATCTGGACTTGCGTCGAAGACGTTGAAAAAGCGTTCACCCGTATCGCTGACCTCCAAGACACTGGCCATATTGCCACATCGATAACAGTAATTCGGTGCACTCCAAACGGTACTGAGTCTGTCATCATAGAGGACTTGGAAGCCTTCCTGACAGAGCTGGTGTGCTCGCAGGATGTGCGACATGGCGTTGACCTCCAAAAACTTCTTAACCACTTGTGCACCAAACGTATACCCCGCCCCTCTGGGGCTGAGTGAGAACTCGTCTCGTTCAGGATCAGGGTCGCTCCAGACAAGATCGGCCATGGGTCCTTCGTGGGGTATCTCACGAAAGCGGTCGATGATCTTAATCTGGTCGATAGAGTGGATAGAGGGGGAAAGACCACCATGGACACAGAATATCTGGTCGTTGATCACGACGGATAATGTGAGGAAATCGAACATGTCGGTGAAGTAGTGCCAAACGCTTGCGTTGCCGTACTTTCGAGAGCACTCGGTGTAGAAGCCGTACGATTGTGTTACGCCGCGGGACTCGTGGTTGCCACGGATGAGGTGTACTCGGTGAGGGTAGCGCAACTTGAGACAGACTAGTAAAGAGATGGTCTCGACAGAGAAGAGACCGCGGTCCACGTAGTCTCCTGCAGAACATTAGCATTGCGCCATGTGACCCCGTACAGCATCGGAGAGAGCAGCTTACCCAAAAAAAGATAATTCGTGTCCGGACAGGGCCCGCCAATCTTGAAAATCTCCATCATATCAAAAAATTGGCCGTGAATGTCGCCGACAACAGTGACAGGCGCTCTGATGTGTACCACATTGCTCTCCTTCATGAGCAGCTCCTTCGTTTTGGCACATATCGCCTCCACCACAGACTCGGCTAATAGTTCCTTCTTCGAAAGTCGCGAGATGCACTCATCGAGGTCCACGCTTGCTGCAGGCAGTCAGAAAAGGGTGGCAAAAGGGCTGGACAGCACTGGCGACTGACGTACACGGTAGGCCTGGCATGGTGGGATTTGGAGACGTCTGGGCGCAGCAGCCGCAGCGGATACTCTCAGGGTCGTGAGTCTATACTGGTCGCTAACAGATGTCTGTACCGTACAATCATCCTCGGAGGCGCATCGGGGCGTGAGATGCGGGCGATGGCATCAAAGCGAATGACGGAGCCATGGTGGGTGCGGTGGACGTTGCGGCCCATGTCCCGCGCCAGCCATGGTCCAAGCGCATCCACGTGACTTCGCTCCAGACCTCACCTCATGTAGGTACAGCTTTCTTTCGACGCGACACCCGTTTGTGAATCTGTACGAATTCGGCGGAGATTGCCTCACCAGTCCCCTTTCACTTCATGTCTTGAACAAATTCTGTCCCTTGACGGCTCTCAAGTCTACTCTCCAGTCTGCCATTCGTCACAACACTTGTTGTGCTTTTTTTCAGCCGGCTTCTTCTCCCATCAGCAATATCAGCCCATCCAATTTTTCGTCCAGCCCTCGCTCCCTTCTACATGATTAATGCAAAGGAACAGGATTTGGTTTTTCTGATCAATACTCATTGCTTTAGCGTCCTCGAGACCTCCCATACCATAGGTAGCCGGCGCTCGAGCTTTCCTGGGTGCCTTGGCACGTGCACTGAATCAGACCCGTGGGCCGATTTTCTCGTCGCGCACTCACCCTTCCATCTCTCGTTCCCAGAACTAGCAGAACTCCTCATTTTATCTTCAAAGTAGGATATCAACTGCCTAGTCTTTTCTTGCCAACAAATCTTTGTCACACTCTGGATTAGGTCAGGGTAAAAGATTCCAGGGTTGGGGATGTCGTGGAGCGGTCCAGTAGCCGGTGCACCGCCTTTTCAGCAGCCCCCATATAACAACAACCAGCAGCCGCCATATAACAACAGTCAGCAGCCGCCATATAACAACAATCATTCTGCCTATGGCCAACAACTTCCATACCAATATGGACAACAGCCACAACAGCCAGGCTATGGACAGCCTCGAGGAACTGCATGGCCTGCAAGTGGGCCTCCACAACGAGCACCTGATAATCGGTAAGCGATGTCGAGTACTTTCTATAGGCCTAAACTTGCTCTCGGTGTGCGAGCTGCTCAATCTTCCTGGCGTGCTGACAACATGACTAGCCCGTCTAAGAAGAAGGCTGCACCTGTAATTACTCGGTACCCTCCTCCGCCAGGCTATCGTGGACCAGCGCAACCTCAAGGGCCTTTTGGTGCTAATCAATATTCCGGTCAATACCAGCAGTCTCAGCCTGTATATCCATCAGGCCCTCAAGCTCCTCCCAGTTATACACCACAAGTATACAATGCTGCCCCTACAGCCTATGGTTATCAAGCGCAGGGATACCGAGCACAGCAGCCCCAAAATTATGCACAATCAGCCTATCCATCTACCCAGGGTCACCAATGGCCACAACAAGGATATGCCTCTAATACAGGTTATTCACAATCACCTATTCAATCATCTGGGTCAGGTTGGGCGCCCCCTCAAATGAACTATCAAGGTCACCCACCTCAACCTGTTCCAAACAATTCGAACCAGCAAGCCTATAGCCAAGCGGGACCATGGCCATCAAATAATGGACCCCCACAAATGGCAGCTCAAAATTCCCATGTGTCCTCCCATGGTCCAGTTGCACGTACAACAGATCCCAATGCTACTCCAACGCCAGCTACCGTCCACATGGCGACCTCCCAAGCTGCGTTGTCCTCGAACCAATCAAATGGTGCTGTGAATCAGAATAGTCCCACTGAAAAGCCACAGATATACCTTAGCTGTGATGATTGGGATTTTGATTTTGATGGCGCGATTTGGCCGAAGAGTAATGAACCTGTGGACCCTGCCCTGAGCCTTGGTGTCATTATATGGCACCCTGCGAAACAGATGACACGCGCCTTGCCATCGACTTTTGAAGAGGCTGAAAAACAGGCGTCGGAAGCAGCACTGGAAGGCTTAGGCAACGGAGACTCGGTATCGATGTATTTCACAGCGGAGAATTCGCATGAAGCATTCTTGGACGTGAGACAAACAGATGATTGGGACGCTATTCGCGATGACCCAGTCTTCGTTGTGTTCACTGATGAGGAAATGCAGAAGAATGTTGTGTCAATTGAGGATTGCATTGCCCAAAGAGACCGTCCGGATGAGTCCTCGGATACCACAAAACATGATGAAGACCAAGAGATGCATGATGCCAGTTGGGACATAATGGAAAACCTCGAACAGGCCTTGACTAGCAGACATGTCGACTCACAGTCGCAACCAAGGAAGCTAAAGGATGTGCCGTCACCCACACAAGCCCAGGAAGATATTCTTGCCAAATTAGGTGTCACTGGTACTCCGAAGCCACCATCGCATAATACGTCTCCGGTACCTTACCAAACGCATGAGACTCAACTCACTGCATCGAATCCAGAGAAGTCGGCCGCCCCTTCTACGAAGCCTCTCAGCTCGCAACCAGCTCCTTCTAGGGCACATTCTTACAGTGGGTTGCCGCATTCAGGCCACAATCCTTCACAACAGCGGTCGTACGGCTCGATGTCATCTGGTTCGACATCCAGACCACCGCCTCCGCCACCACCTCCAGAGCAGCCACACTATGATCCGTGGAACGCGCCTCAACATGACACCCATGCCTTTGGCGGGCGCTCGGGCAGCCCTGCAACCTCGGAAGGCAGCAATCGAACCATGGCTGGGTCTGATTTCGAGTCCGGTAAGCCTAGTAACCATAATGATCACGAAAATTCTGCCGCACCCTCTCTGCCGCGAAGCGACAGTTCCAACAATCGAAAGAGGAGCTACGAAGATGCCGACAAGGATGGGGAGCAATCGCGACAGCAGGATGACCATTCGAAGCGCAAGAGGCGTGCTCAAGTCGATGCTGCTTACAGGTGAGACTTCAAAGCGCTTGGCTTGACAAAAATCTTGTCAAATGCTGATTACGCTTCAGTCGCCGTTGACATGTCCGAAATTTCCTTTCCATGCCATCTACGACATCATTCCAACTTTTCTCACGACACCGGCAAACTCAGTCTGCTACCCAGTTGCATTATTTCAAAACTTATTGTTCTTCTTATCTGTCAAAACATGTCATGGTGTCATTTATAACCCGGTCGGGTATCATCTGAGTAATCTTTTTCAACACTATTTGAGTCGCGATTTTCTTTATTCGTTTAATTTCCAAGTCCACACGAGATCTCAGAGAGGAAAGGCGGAGTGAGATGCACGCACTTCTGCCTAAAAACCAGTCATCTGACAGTCAAAGTCCGAGTGTCCGTTGTTTCTCTGTCAGTGGTTGTGTGTTTACTTCATGAACTGAACAGCATACATTTTTAATATTTCCTTGATTCACTCAAAATTCACCATGTTCTCACCACCCTCACGATTTATCTACATCAATTTCAGTCTTATGATGTCATGCTTTCCCGGTTGAGTCATTCCATCGTCCCATGCGTTTATGTCTTTGCGATTGCTTTGCTTCTCAGTCTTAACACGCGTTCTTGATATGTTCGAGAGACACTGCCTAATTGGGAGATATTCTGTTCCTTCTTATGCATAATGTAAGAAGATGGTCATATGGAAATGTGAGTATGAATGACAATGCGGATGTTATGAAAGTTCGGGTAAGCGCTCTCGCTGCCTGTCTAGACGTTTCGTTAGAGATTCGACTGGCACGCCGTCTTGGTCAATCGCGTAGCGCCTGATTCTGCGGTACATGATAGGGCTTCTATGCCGCCTGTAGTGCATCTTTGGGTGGCGTAAGATGCGTGCCTCGTCGTGTCAATGCATGCACTTGGTACAAGGCATCCTCCTCAAAACAGGACGGAACTCTTGATCCCAAGGACACGCCTATTGAGAAGTGAGTTTTCTTCAAGTCTTCACGATGAGCAAGTGCGTGTCATGTTCAGCCTGTATTAGCTTAATGTAAGTTTTATGCACGGCAGCATTGATATCATGTGTCGGCTTAGTGGATGCAGCTAGTATATCGCCGCTTCCCCTGCTACAGCGTAGTGGAGACATAGGATGAATGTTACCATCAATGTAAGTTTTTTCTCTCACACCTTTTGCTCGTCCAATTTCTGCTCTGATCTCAAGTCTGGGACACATTGCGAGTGAATCAATCCCCACTCCTCTTCAATCTTTCCTACATCTCCCATACGAACCAGTATCCATCCCATGCCCGCGACAATGCAATCACGTATAACAAGTGACTTCACCCCGCATGAGCATTCCCCTGTTCAATGCCTCGTCGATCCCGCAATACCCTTCCTGAACCCTCACCGCTCCATTGCCATCCCGTTAGTGACTGGTATACCATCTCTCCTCTCTCTGATAATTCGTTCCCTCACATCGAGAACATGTATACGCATATATATCCCATATCCTCCTCTCAAACCTGAAGCCCAGCCGGGAGATAAGTCGTCGTAGAAGCGACGGATGTTCATGCCCGTTTTACCATCTCTTTTGTATGATCGAAGCTGCGGTTTCGACCGTCTTCGCGCGAGTGCGGGGAGATGCAATGAGTTGTACATGACCTTTAGAAAGCCCGCTATTTGCTTTTACGCTCAATGTTCCCTGCCTAATCTGGGGTCTTGCGTCCTCCGTCTTGCGTGGATGTCGCTGTTGCGCTGCTGCTATGTGTGCGCTGGGTTATTGTGGGATGCATGCTGAATGTAGATATATTGGACATGCGTGTATGTGCATGATCTTCGTATCGTGCTTCCTATCCGCATTCGCATTCCTATCCGATGAAGACTGCTGTATCTCAAACTTCATGCACTTGGGCATCCCAGACGCAAAAGGAAAACAAGGGAATGTAAATAGGAGCCGTGGATGTGAAGGCAGTTTGTTGGGCGCAGGGGAGATGGGTGGGGCTGAGTTGGCTGGTTGTTGGGCGGTACGTGGGGATGGGGAGTGTGTAGTAAGAGAAGTGTGTGGTAAGAGTGTGATGAGGGAATTGTGGTAAGAGTGTGGTGAGGAGATGAAGGAAGAAAGGAGCGAGGGACAAACAAAATCATCTTCTAAACACCAAAAAAGTATCGATATTGCTTAACGCCAAATCACAGCATACCTGTAGACCCCAAACGCCACATGACTATTGTTGTTATGGTGGTAGGCGTAGGCGGAAGAGGAGTAGGAGCAGTGCTAAGAAGTATATACACAGCCAAGTCGGCGAATTCCAAATCCATAACCCCTTAAGCATGGCCATGACCATAAATCCATACCCCATATCCATACCCATATCCATAATCATACCCATACGCAACCCCCCAAAAACGCCCCTTGACAAAGAACAAAAACCCAAAACCGCAGGACAAGCAATCCCCCACCCAACCCGCCTTCCCGGTCCCCAATCCCGCAGAAAACAAGCAGTAAGCTTGCAGAAAACAAAACCACGACGTCGACTCTGCGTGTACGCGGCAAGTCTGGGCCGTAGTTGCAGTAAGAAAATGTGCGTGGTCGAGACGAGACAGGAAAAAAAAAGGATCGCAGAAGATGAGCAGGATCATAATCATAGAGGATGAGATGGCAAACATCTTCATATATAAAGTCGAGATTGTGACCAAAAAAAAAAGCGGACGTAATCTGTCAAGTGCGGATGGAGCAGAGGGTTCAAAGCCCATTGTGTACGACAACCTTATGCCAGGAAGATGGTCGTAGAAGCACAAGCTGGGTTTCTTTGTTCGTATTGTATGTGTGTGTTCGTACAAGGGGTTAATATCGTGTCGTCGTGAGGGTATGTCGTGTCGTGAATTAAGAAGGTCGTAGAAGAAAAATGGATTAGCAGTGCAAATCTCACCTCGAGTACGGCTTGTTCATGAGTGCAATCTCGCGAGCAACAGTGGCCCACTCGAGTTCGCGGCGAAGAGGCTCGTTGCGTCGCTGACGCTGGTATTCCTCCCACTTGAGGAGCTCATAGGTGAAGCGCAAGTGTGGTTGGATTATCACATTGAGTCGACGTGCTCGCACAAAGCAGCTGGGAATGGGTCAGTTGCGACAACATTTAGACGGAGCAATTCGGCATGCACTTACTAGGCACGGGGGAAGGACAAGCCCAGCTCGTTCATAACTTCGGCAATGCAAATCGTGGCAGATCGAGACACGCCCACACGGCAGTGGACAAGGGTCGCCCCTCCTTCTCGCTTCCCAGCTTCTAGATTCTTCATTAGCAATGAGCTTTAGAGTTTGTTCGACAAGCATACCAATAAATTTGAGGCAACGCTCAAATTCAGCCCACAACGGGTCAACGCCGTTGTCCTGAACTCGATCGATGACCAAGAAATTCTCACTGGGCCAATCAAACTCCTTTTGCGTCTTCTCCGGCCACGACAGCGTTTCGCCAACGCTCAACACGCGGGTTATTCCTAGTGCGTGAAGAAGTTCTGGGTTGTTGGCGTGCCCAAGATTGCCCAGATACATGTATGGCAAGATGCGACTGGGCAGACTACCGTCGATCCTCGATAGCCATTGAGGTTCTGACATGTTGAAGATGCTTTGCTTGAACCGTGGAGATTCCTGGAGGATGCGTGGCTGAATCGCTGTCAACAGTGCAACATCTGAAGGATATGCAAAGAAGTTGCGACCCTTCTCCCGATGCAATCGAATATACGCCTCGTGAACAGGCACACCCTCTGCATACATGAAGTAGGCAAGAGCAAGGAGCGTGGTCTCGGTATATCCATCTGTGCAATGGATCAAGAATTTACGAGGTATTGCAATGTCGTCCATCTCGATGGCTTCATCTTCGTCGCTGCGTCGCCGTTTTGCTCGTTTCGCTTCCAGAGGGTTCGCCAGCTCAAACATCCATTTGCACATATCCATAAGCCCGTCGACCTCGCTGTGTGACCACGTCGGCGGCATGATGCTTCCTGAAGAAGGGAATTCCATGTGCATAGCAGCCTTGCGCTGAATCTTGTCAAGTCCCATGCGCAAAGCGCGCAACGAGCGCGCTTCAGGTACATGAGCAAGATCAGTGGCTTCGATGAGCATGTCAAATTGGTCTTCTCCCAGACATTCTGGATCAAGGCGCGAATCAGGCGTAGGTCCCAAGAATACATTGTTACTAATCTCCGAAGCCCTTGACATTGCACACATCTCATAACGTTCCCAGTAGACTGCGGCAGGTGAGTTGTCATTCTGTCGACACCTTGGGAGGAGACTCACAAAAATCGACAACATTGCCAGTGATATCTCCCGACCTGTTGAGCGCAACCAACTTCGGGTATTTCTCCTGCACTGTGGCAAAAGAGTCTAGTACAGTATTGTCAGATGAGCCGTTCTTTACAGGCAGGAGACAACGAACCTTCGAGCACAAACGTGTTGAATAGGCACGGCCGCAGCCCGTTGCTCTGTTCGTGATTCCTCTGCGCTTTGGAAATCTTCCGCGCCAGCATGAGGGTGTCATTGAGTTTGGTCTTATGATCGCCATACACTATAATGTCCGAGACGGTAGCGAGTTTGCAGGCCTGGATCTGGAAGTTGCGCACAGAAAAGCCGTCCTTCGGGTCACATTCGATGAAGTCTGGCGAGTCATCAGCCACTGAGTCGAGAATCTCATTAGGTGCGATTGCTCCCTTCAGCTTGGATGACGACAGGTTTCCGCCAGTCTTGACAATGGCAATACTGCGAAGACATCGGGGCACTTTCCGCACACTCTTGCGACGGGAGGAGAAGAAGGCGAGTTGGATCTCATTTTCTTCGTGAAGGCCGTGCATCCATGGGAAGACCTGCTCTGGATTGGGAAGAGGTTGCGTGGCAATGTGTTCGAGGGCGGCGGCCATGCAGTCGGCAGTGATCTTGTACACTGGAGGGTCAGTAACAATCTGATCACAGTACTGGTCTGGCGGGTATGTGATGGATGAAGTCTCAATCAGACTGTCTTGTCGGGGAGGAGATGCAGGAGGCGTTTGGGGCAGTGAGAGTCCTCCAGGGGCGCAGTTGGGAAGATGTTTGTTGGGAATGGGCATAGGCGTGCCATGTGGAGTCGTCTTGCGTGAAAGCTGGGATGAAGCAGGGGGCGTTGGCTCCCGGGCAAGCATGAAGGGTGGTGCCCTTGCTACTGCGGCGGCCATGTTTGGAATTGGAGACGCAAGGAGGCAAGGTGGTTGAGAGTAGAAGTGAAGGCAGGCAACGTGAAATGCTCGGTTTCACGTAAAAAGGATAGGCACGGGGGGGGGGGGGACAGTGAACAGCTTGGAGAGAAGGTCCTCTTGGTGATAACGATGGTTGAGATAAGGTTGGCTTGTCCCTTCCACGACAGCTCGACCAATGATAGGCTCTTCAGTGGCCGGAGGGGTCAAAGGAAGAGAGTGCGGGGTGAGTTGAGGGCACACAAAGTGATACGAAGACTTGCGGCCAAAGGGGGAATGCCAGCGAGCGGCGTCCTGTCGACTGGCTTGATCAGTACACAAAAGCGCACAGCGTCGAGTCCAGTCAAAAGCGAATTTGACGTGTTGAGGTGTGGACCCACGTTGTTGAAAGTCCGGACTGTTGCTTGGAGATGCTGCAATCGCTCAAGCCTCCGGTGGACGAAGAGGTTGAGACCTCTGGGCCGGTACGGCAAAGACAAGTCTACAGCGTGGCGACTGAAGCAGCGAACATGTTGTGTAGAAGCAGATGAATAGTGAAGTTGACTTGAAGCAAATGGAAGTAACCTGGACGGGGTATTAGGAGAAGAAAGGAAGAATCATGGAGGCGGGCAAAAGGCGTTGATGGCTGGTGGTCGCACAGAAATGGCAGCGGAATGTCCATGGATGGGCAAGACAGCAGAGCGTTAGTTGCCTTTCCCCGCCTTATCACACCCAACAACCAGCATCTTGAACGAGGCGCCGTTTTAATTCACCCAACCCGGCTCGCGTCCTGCAGCCACCTGCAGCTTGGTCCACACACACACACAGGTAGAGTAGGGAGACACAGACACACACTCATGCGCGGTTGGTTCGCGTGTAGGCAGAGTACAGCGCAGAAGCACCCGCACCCTTTCCTTCGAATAAGTTGCTTTTTTATCAACAGGAGCAGGCGCTGGGATTGCGGCACCATCACGGCGCAGAGATGTCGTGGACCGATAACGTATCGCCAGGTGGATCTGATGGCATTCCCCGCCCAGACGACAAGACCTGACCCCAAAGTGCACATCCCTACATAGTAGCTACCGTACCAAGAGGGAAGAGGAAGAGGAAGAGGGAAGAGGAAGAGACCGTCCATCACTCTTTCGTTGAGCTCACGACCCCCTTCCACTCAGGAAGCGACGGCGCCCGGCCTCAAGACCAAGCCACTAAAACGACATGGGAGCCAGCGTGGAATCGGGCTGTCATTTTAGTGCCACTCCACTTTGCATGCGGGCGGAACCCCAGCATCAGAGTGGGTATCGCCATGGCCATGGGTACCAAATCTGTGCAGCCAGCCAGACGTCGCCACCGACTCGACGCCTCAAGCCTAGGCCTCACCAACCGATTGTCGATCAGCCCCGCGTCTTCAGAGTTTAGGAGCCGCTTTGGACCATCACGAGACGACACATTCGCAAGGAGAGAATGTGAGAGAGTTTGTGGCTGACAAAGAGAGAGAGAGAGAGAGAGAGAGAGAGAGAGAGAGACAGTGTGGGTGTGGGTGTATGCTGAAACCGTGCAACAAGCCCCCCCTCCCTTGGGCGTCCTGCGTTTGTTGAATCTGTGTAACCCCGCATCATTCAAGGTGTCGACCGTTTGTCCAAGGGCTTACGGCTTCCGGAATCCAGGCGAGACTGAACAAGAGAGGGAGAGAGAGTCAAGACCAGACCAGGGCCAAAGAAAAAAACCCTTGCAGAACGTCTTTGTCTAGCTGGGAACATTTCCCCTCCATCTTTGTGCACACAGTCGTCTCCTTGTAGTCGTGAGCCCAGCCAGTCTATAGTATGCTGCTGGCCTGCGTGTCGTCAGAATAGGTAGTGGTTCAACGCCCATTCCAAGGCACCAAAAGGAGTTGCGTGTTTCAACATGTCTCATGCGGTATACTCGGTAGAGATGCAACTGTGGAGTAGACTCATATAGTCGTAACGGACTTGAATCCGGCAAGATGGCAACCCTTGGAAGACGGTTGTATCCAGCAAGACGGTTACTCTATACCACAGTTTACAACTCAGGCATACTTCAATTCGACAAGCTGGCCGCTATGCTGCCCAGATAGAATTGTTCGCATGCCTACCTGAGCTCCTTATCATAGTTTGCAGCTCACCTCCTTGGAACCCAAAAAAAAAACTAATCAGAAAGAAATTAGGCCTTGCTGCAGACTAAAAACGAGGCTGCAGTGCTGGCATAACCTCTTATAATTCACATCTTGCACCCACCACATCAATCGAGGGACTTCCCACAATCCCAAATTCGTAAAGAGACTCATCAGAGCATAAACATGGACAACGGCATGTCCCATGTATTAACTCGAAACCCTTACGTAACGCCTAAGCTGCACTCGCCCAAAAGATTCCTGGTATGCAACTCCCCCATATACATGATAGCGTTGAAACATGACCACCCGAACCAGCGAATGATGCCCTTGATTCATGCATCCACATCAGTCTTGGAATTCAGCAACTCGTCCACAATGGACCGTTGATATGCGAGTTTGTCTTTGGAATCTCCCTCCTTGTCTTGCTCCTTGAGGAGGACAGCGAGGACCGCGAGTGGAGGATCAAGATGGAGTCGTTGAGCACGCTTCCAGCGCTTTACTCGGGCGATTCCTGTGCAGGGCTATGCAGACATATCATGTTAGCCACAAGTTGCGAGTTCACTGTCAACTGGCCTGGAGGCTGGAAATGGACTTACACCATAATGTGCGCTCATATCGAATTCCCGCAATATCTTCTCGTGCACCGTCAATTCCTGCTGATGCACCCTCGGCGCCTTTCTCTGCTTCTCTTTTGCGGCCCAATACTTCTTGATCGATGCATCTGTCATGCGCCGAGCGGCTTCTTCTTCTGGTGTGCTCTCTACTTCTTGCGCCTTGACCTCCTGCTCTGCTTGCTCGAGGATGGCGACTTCAGTCGTGCTGGGTTCATCATTCTCGATGTTGGTAACCTCAGGTTGGGTAGGAGTTTTGGGCTTTGTGTCGGACAGCAGACCCTTTTTTGCGCCTTGTGGTCTTGCGCCCGACTTGGTGACTTTGTTGGAGGCTCCGTGGAATGCGAGGGTGGACTGCGACGACTTGGCCGCAGGTCCGGATGAGCGTCGCTTGGGAGGCATGCTGGTGTATGATTTGCTTTGTATTGTGTTGTATAACGAGATACCAAGGATCGTTTACGAATGCGCGCAGTGTTGGAGGTCGTGGGAAGGCAGTTGGACATGTGGTGACCTCATTTGGCAAGGTAATTGGCTTGGCGGCGCGTGCCTTGCCGTTGTCAGGGTGACGCGCTAGACACGCGTGCAGGTGACTTTACTCATTCACCCTCGTGCATCTACACTTGTCTGAAAGAGTGAGTGCGTCTTCTGCATCTTTATTAAATACCAATGCCCCCGTCTTCGAACGCAATCTGAGTTTAGAAGTAAATGTCCCACCACGATGTAGATGTTGTCCATGTGTGCGGGGTTCCCATTACCCCAGCACTTCTTTCGACTCTCTCTTCATCATTTCAGTCTTCAATACAACAACAGAAAAACAGTTTCTTAGCATCAATTGCAATACATTCAACCAATCATCAACACCCTTCATAGCCTTCTCTCCATCTACCCCTCCAATCCCCACTAATCCACTTCCCCCTCTTCCACCAGCAATCCACCCCCCTCTCCCACAAGCAAACCCACCCACAATGACCTCCACCACCCCCCCAGAAATCGCCGCACACGTCGAATCTCTCATCCCCAAATTCACCCTCACCCGGCTCCTCAATTCAGACCAAGCCGGCCGCCGCATCTCCCTCCTCGGCACCATCGACTCCCTCCCCGCCCTCCTCCTCTGCGAACGCGCCGCCTTCGACACCTCGCCCACCCACCTCGCCCACTTCCCCACCTCACTCCGCAACATCCAGAACCTCGGTGCAAACGACATCTACGCCTGGTTCCTCGCCAACAGCAACCCAGACGCCTTTGACCAGGCCCAACAAGCACCCCCACCAGACTACAAGCTCAACCTCATCTACCCCTGCACCGAAAAACACATCAACAAATACTCGGCCCAGCGCCTGCGCGTCGTCTCCGAGACTCCGGAAATCTACAATGCCTATATTCGTCCCTACATGTCTGCTCAGCGCCAAAAGGGCACCCTCAATTGGGTCTACAACATCCTCGAGGGCCGCACCGAGCAAGACGATGTCATCTATCGCGCCCCGGCTTCTGCCTCCGCCCGCAACGAAGGCTTCCTCCTACTCCCGGATTTAAACTGGGATCGCAAGACCATGGGCAGCATGCACCTACTAGGCCTAGTCGAGCGCCGCGACATCTGGAGCGTGCGGGACCTGAAGCAGAGCATGGTGGGCTGGGTACGCAGGATGAGGGAGGAAATGCTACAGGCGACTGTGGAGTTGTATCCAGAGATTGAAAAGGATGAGATCAAGTGTTATGTGCACTGTACGTGTTAATTTTTTTCCTTTCCTTCATTTTATCCCCCTTATTGTAATGTCCAATTCCTGACACCCGCCAGACCAACCAACCTACTATCACTTCCACATCCACATCGTCCACGTCTCCCTCGAAGCAGGCTCCACACAAGCAACCGGCAAAGCCCTGGGCCTGGAAAATATCATCTCCCAGCTCGAAACTATGGGTTGCGTGCAGGCACCAGACACCAACACCGCAGCAACCACCACCACCACCACCCACGACCAACAAAACCACGCCAATCAACACCCCCAACAAGAAGAACCAGGCATGCAAAACGCAACGCTAACCTACCACCTCGGCGAGCGCAGCGATCTCTGGACAAAAATTTATCAGCCGTTGAAGGAGGGGCGCGAAGTCGATGTGTCCGGGTTTTGAGGCTTGGTTTGTGTGGGGTGAGGGAGGATAGGGGAGAGTAGGTTAGGGTAGGCTAGATCTAGACTGAGAGAGAGAGAGAGAGAGAGAGAGAGTAGCTGTGTTAGGACGGGGTAGGGTATGAGAGACCAGGGTAGAGTGGGTCATGTCAGAACAGGATAGCTTTAGAAAAGAAAAGAAAGAGAAACCAACCGTAAACCAAGACACAAAAGATCAGAAGAACGCAAGAAAACAACAACAACGAGTATTCCCAATTCAAAAACCAACGACGTTGAACGCAAAGCCATACCAATACCTATACCTAACCCAGGACATGGAGAGTAAAAAGCAAAGACGACCATAGAGATGGTAATAACAATCAGAATTCAAGACTACACCACACCACCACGTCATCTCGAGGCGAAAAAATAAAGGATAGATTATAATTAGTTTGAATCGACTGTTCCATCAATCTCGCGTCCAGCTCCAGAAGACCAAGAAAACAAACAACTTCAGGGGAATCAAACAATATAATCAAAGCTCGGTATTCATACCTGCACTGCTCTTTGCTTGCCCTTGCCCTTGTCTTTACTTGTACCTTTGCCCTTGCCTTTACCATTCCCACTTCCCTCATCCTCCTCACCCATCACCTGCGCCTGTCCCTGTCCATGCCCACCCTCCCCAGCCTCCACCTTCAACCGAGCCGCCTCCAACCTATCCTCCCTCTCCATCTCCAGCCTCGCCCTCGGCTGATCCAACATGGCCCTGCCCGGCCCAGCACCCGGTGCCGGACCCCTCCCTCCCATGTCCTCCCACCCCCCACTCGTACTCCGCCTCGCCCCCCTCGTCCCAAAACTATCCACCCTCGCACCAGGCCCCCGCCTCCCTTTCCAAACCACAAAGCTGCCCCAGAACGTGCCATCGCTTGATAGAATTTTCCGCCACGGCTTCTCGCGCACGCTGAAGACGACGAAATTGACGAAGCCGATGCTGGTGATGATGATGTTGGAGCTGAGGCGGACGCCCCAGACGGGCCAGAGGGCGTAGCGGTCACGGTAGTTCATGCAGTGCATGGCAAAGGGGAGGAGCCACATGATGGTGTAGATGAGTGGGTAGATGAAGAGGAGGCGGAGTTGACGGTGGATGCGGGCGCGTTGGCGGTCCATGTGGTGGTGGTGGTGGTGGGCGGGCGAGGGGGCCCGGAGTGGGAGGATGGGCGAGAGGGGTCCGGGGTTTTGGTCGTCGAGTTGGGGCTGGGTTTGGGGGGATTGGGTGGAGACGGGGGCAGGAGCACTAGTCGTGGGGGTGGTGTGTGGGCGCTGGGCTGTGACAGTGTGGCCATGTCCTGGAGGGGGGGTTTGATGAATGGTGTAGCCTGAAGGTATAAGGGCGAGCGAGGGTCTTCGTGGAGGATCCTTCAGCACTCGGTCTGGCACAGAGTACATGCTTGCTGGGGTAATGGAAGCCGCACGAACAGGAAGGGGCCCTGCAGATACAAATGACAAGGACGATCCCTGACGCGGTGACGATACAATCTTGTGAGCTACTGATGACGCTCGACGAGTCCTACGCGGCTTCTCGAAACTCGCCTCGGGGCGTCGAGGCACTGTGCATAGGGGCGATTCTGTATCCCTATCCTCAAACGAGCTTGTAAGGCCAGAGGTCAGATGAGAGTCCTGGAAACTCTGGCTGTGCTCGGAATAGCGGCGAATGGCACAGCCGACGTATGTGTAAATGGCAGTGGCAAGCACAAAGATGATGAGTGCAACCAGATATCGCGGAATCCATTGAAGAGCCAGTCGATACCAGAAAGGCCGGATTGGAAGCATACAGTAGGCACCCAGTGACTGATAGCCATAATGTGGGTTGACGAAAGCGAGGCCTGACATTAGTGCTGGAACGAAGATGGCTCCAGTGTATACGTAATAGCGATAAGGCCTCAGGCCATCTGTACTCGCGGGTGGACAAGGACTAAAGACTTGCAAGGCGCTGTGAACTGCAATCACAAATACAGCGTAGTCTACTCTGTCAGCTTGTACTGCCGCAACGGCAAAAAGGCACACTGACCGCATGTCTCGGTACCATACTGGATAAGGAATCCGCTCATTTGACAGGATATGGTTTGAGTGGCGATCGGCCCACGTATGGATGACAGCAGGCCGAAAATGAAATAGCATATCGAGGATACTAGACCGCCGAAGAACAGGATTACAATAAGCCTACATGATACATCAGTCATGGCCAAGGCAGTATACCGCAAAAGAACCCACTGATGGCGAAATCGCTTTTCCATTCGGCAAAACCAGTAGAGGGCAAGCAAGGAAGCTACTGTACTGACTCCCGAGCAAACCAGGACGGCTACACGAACTTGATATGTCCTAGACACGTCGGTCGCATTGCTAGACGTATAAGTCGAGAGGGGAGGGGCTCGCATTGGATGCGAAGCAACACTACAGAAAAGTTGGAAGAAGATGACATATGAATACATTGCCGAGGCAAAGCAGACGGTGAAGATTTTTGATAGAAAGCGGTTTTGGGACGGATTTCGCACAGATTAACGTAACTTTGCTGTTGACATAACGCGGCAGCGAATTGATGAGAACCACGGTGCAAAGGGAAGCCCTTCATCGGAGCCATTGCAAAGCTGTATTTACAACATATTGATCACACGAAAAGGCCGGCAACGGCACTGAAAGCGTGTAAGACTTGGCCGGCATCCATAGTAGCAAGCATACCACATCAAGACATGCATCTTGGTCGTTGATCCTGCACTGGACATGGTTGATCAACCGGACTAGGTCCCTGCTCGCCAACGGTTTCACTTCCCATGTGTATTGGCATACGCAATCCCACTTCATGGCGATACATGACTGCATTGTCGGACCGGACGTCTTTGTTGATGCAGCAAGTAGTCTGATGCTCGCAGTGACAGTCCACGAGGCTGGCATCACGTGTAAACGAGGTGGCACAGACGAAGTCTAATCCAGCGCCTCGGCAAGGGTGATGAGACTGAATCGCAAATCACCCGCTCCTGCTTCCGATTCACGCTTGAGGAAGCTGCGCACACCAAGGTCAAGGGCTCGTTCGCTGAGAACATCCTCGTCTGCAGCCAGCTCACCGCGGTTCAGGGGGCCTTTACGGCGGCCGTCGAGCTCCCACAAATGGTTCTTGCCAGATTTTACAAAGCAAACATAATGTAAATCGACGTGGTCTTCAGCAGCCGGCGCAGACGTATCGCCCCCCGTGGCGGCATCCTGGTGGGCGCTCTCGAGCGCTTCTGATTCGTAGAGAAGATCGGCTCGCTCCATAGGTTTGAGCGGTATGGCGTCGGTCAGCAGCTTTGCAAGGCTGGAATGGGGCTCTGCAAGGAACGTTAGACAGCATGACGACTCGTACTCGAGCTGACAAACGACTGACCGATATTGGAGCGTGCTGTGCCGTTTGAGACAGCGTGGAGGAGGCCGATGAGGCCGCAGGCGTTGCCGATGGTCTGCTTGTACCAGACGACCTCTTCCTCTGCCCCATGGCCGTCGTACTCTGGACGGTCTTCGTCCTCCTGCACGCGGAAGCGCTCATATGTCTCGCTCACGGGAAAGACGAGTAGCAAGGCGTGAGCAGGGCGAGGGACGAAGGCCAGCAGATCGGGGTCGTCTATGCTGAATACGTCGTGGAAGGCTAGTTTCTGCGACAGGCCAAGTTTGTGGACGAGCGCGGACATGACCTCGGGATTATTCTCTTTGGCAATGGGGTTAGCCTTGCCAGTTCCTGGGGGAGGGGGGTTTGGCCGTGTCTTACCGAGAGGAATGAACCTCTTCTTGCCGGCGGGGACATCGGGTGAGGTTTCAGAGGCCATGCTAGTGAGGTGGAGGGAAGGAGGAAAGGGGGGAGGGAGGGGTAGGTGGCTGCTGTTGTTGCGATGGTGGTGGTGGTAGTGGTAGTGGTGTTGTGCGGTGCTCGTACGAGGGAAGCTGGAGTTGGGTGAAGGGGAGAGGGGGGGTTTCTTAGTTTATGGCGTAGGCAGAGGTCAAACTGGTGGATGCGAGGCGGGGCATGTAGGCAACAAACAAGAGGGAATTGTACACGCGTCATACGACGCCTTTCATGTTACCTACAAGCCAGACCAGCCTGGCCAAGAACCTACGGCCACAGCGCTTGATGTTGTACCTCGACTTTGCCTAGACAGTTTGGGCTGGAGGTGCATGAAGGCTGCGCGTCCTGGTCAAGCAGCATTGTGACGAAGTACGGTGGAGCGTACAAACGCGCACAGAGCTTGTCCTGTGTCGTGAAAAAATAGTAAGAGAAAAGGAAAGAAGGAAAGGCGTGTCGAGTTCGGGCTTGGAGGACAGATGCAGAGCTGGATGGCAAGTCAGGGAACGCGTGTGGACGCGACTAGAGGAGGAGGAGGAGGAGGAGTAGTAGTAGTAGTAGTAGTAGTAGTAGTAGATGGGATGGTGGCCTGTGCTGCTCTGATGATGCGCGAGTATGCAAGGGACTCTGTGGTAAAGGGCTCTACCGGTACTAGATTACCAGTACTAGAGAGCTTTGAAGCTTCTTCCAGTGCCCCGCCATCCATCGTCGGGGTTTTATTATTATTATTATTATTATTATTATTATTATTATTATTATTATTATTATTATTATTATTATTATTATTATTATTATTATTATTATTATTATTTTATTTTGGTCAATTGCAAGCATGTATACCTAGGAACCTCCATGACTGATGATGGACTGGAATTGCATGTGGCCATCCAATTGAACTCACGTGCGCGCCATGCATGTCCGCCGCTTCTCTCCCTCCCCTACCGGTACCCCTCCCACATCTCTTCTGCTAAATCTCTTTCACTCCAGACCGACCCTTTGTGCTGCACGGAAAACCTCTCTTCAGTTCGGTCGTGGTGCTTCAATTGCCCCTCCATATTCTCGCCAGTGGCCCTTGGCACACCCCACCACGACCGGTACCACGACCACCACCGCCGCCCCCAGCTTCAGGGCCAACAATTTCTTTACCCCACTACAGCCCCCCTTAGCCTTGACCTTTTTCCAACACACCTTCACACGCAACATGGCGAGCACGACACTCGACGAGAGCTTGGTCTCCTATCTCAAGGCCCATGCACCCAACAATGCGGGCGCAGAGACAGACGCCGTCAAGGCCTCGCACGCCCTCTTTCCCCAAGTCACCTACACCGACGCCGAGAAGACGGAGCTGGGCCAATGGCTTCACGCCGCCTCCCACATCGCCTCGTCTGCTGATGACGCCGCAAAAGCCGCCGAGCGCCTGTCGTCCCTGAACACACACCTCGCCAGTCGCACCACCCTCCTCGGCGCGAAGCCGTCTGTGGCAGACATCGCCATCTACCAGAAGCTCGCACCGGTCGTGTCACAATGGAGTGCAGAGGAGAGGACGGGAGAGCAGGGTTACCACCACATTGTCCGCCACGTCGACTTTGTCCAGAACTCGCCCATCTTTGGTCTCAAGGTCGACGACAAGCTCAACATTGACCAGGACGCTGTCGTCTTCAAGATCAAGCCGGTCGACGCAAAGGCTGAGAAGGAGCGCAAGAAGAAGGAAAAGGAGGCGGCTGCTGCCCGTGCTGCGGCCTCGGGAGCTACACCCACGACATTGACTGGTGAACAAGGAGGTCAAGCCAGCAAGAGCAAAAAGGACAAGGCCCAAGACAAGGTCCAAGCAGCAGGAGAGGCCATCGCATCAACCGTAGCGGGCAAGCCAACCGCTGGCGGACCTCCCGAAGGCGCGCCCACGAAGAAGAAGGAAAAGAAGGACAAGCAGCCCAAGCCCCAGAAAGCGTGAGCTATCCCATTTCCTTCCCTTGACGCCCCCAACTAACTAACCTCCCTCCCACAGCGCACCCGTCGAAAAACCCCTCTCCCCCGCCCTCATCGACCTCCGCGTCGGCCACATCCTCAAAGCCGAAACGCACCCCAACGCCGACTCCCTCTTCGTCAGCACAATCGCCTGCGGCGACGCCCCGGGCACAGAAAACACATCCGAGTACGAGGGCCAGGTCGTGCGCACCGTCTGCTCCGGCCTCAACGGCCTCATCCCCCTCGCGGAGATGCAAAACCGCAAAATCGTGGCCGTCTGCAACCTCAAGCCCGTCACGATGCGCGGCGTCAAATCCTGCGCCATGGTCCTCGCCGCCTCGCCCAAACTCGCGCCCGGCGAAGTAGACGCCCACAAGGGCCCCGTCGAACTCGTCGAACCCCCGCCCGACAGCAAGGCTGGTGACCGCGTTTACTTTGACGGCTGGCAGGGCGACCCGGAGCCGGTGCTCAATCCCAAGAAGAAGATTTGGGAGACGCTGCAGCCGGGTTTTACGACGACGCAGGAGGGTGAGGTGGGCTTTGATGTCGCGGTTGTGCCGCAGTTGGCGGGTGAGGAGCCGGAGAAGAAGGTTGGGGTTGCGCGGTTGAGGACAAAGGATGGGGTTTGTAGTGTGCCGTCGTTGAAGGATGCGGTTGTCAGGTAGAGGATGGGTTGGTTGTGTTTCTTGCTTGGATCAAGTGCGGACCTCTGCGACTTGGAAGAATAGATGGATGAATCTCCATTTGTTTCCAACACTGTGTCTGTCCCAATGGGAACCCTCACAGGTCCGTCTAGACAAGTCCTACCGTCCCCTCTTCTCCACCACCCTTGTAAAGTCAAAACTCCATGTCATGCTACGACAACGTGTAGGTATAAAAAGAAAGAAGGAGAGAATGCAAACCATAATGCATGCCCCAAGCGTATCAAAACAAAAGATGCCCTCTCCCCTCCACCTCCTCTCCAGAATCCAACGTGCACCCCAATCCCAAATCCAGCCTACTCCTTCTTCTTCAAAGCGTCCAAAAACTCGTGCGGCGGCTGCTGCGCATACCCCTCTGGATTGTTCCGCGTCCACTTCCACAAATCCGCACACGCATCCTCGAGCGTGAGCTCCGTCTTCCACCCCAGCTCCTCATTCGCGCGTGCGGGATTCGCCGTCAAATCCAAGACGTCACCGGGCCGACGGGGGGCAACCTCATAGGGCAAATCGCGACCGACGACGTGGCCAAACGCCTTGATCATATCGAAGACGGTGGAACCGCGACCGGAGCCGAGGTTCCAGGCGCGAACGCCGGGGCGGTGTGTGCGCAGGTATTGGAGGGCCTCGAGGTGGCCGCGGGCGAGGTCGAGGACGTGGATGTAGTCGCGAATGGCGGTGCCGTCTTTGGAGGCGTAGTCGTTGCCGAAGACGAGGAGTTTGTCGCGTTTGCCGATGGCGACTTGGGCGAGCAGGGGGAGGAGGTTGTAGGGGACGCCGAGGGGGTTTTCGCCCATGATGCCGCTTGGGTGGGCGCCGGCTGGGTTGAAGTAGCGGAGCAGTGCGGCGTTCCATTTGGTAATGTCTGCGTCGGGTTTGCCGGCTTTGCGGGCGTTGTTGCGCTCGGCGTCGATGGTGTCGGTGATTGCGCTTTCGATTGTGGATTTTGTGCGGCCGTAGACGTTGGTGGGGCCGATGGGGCAGTGCTCGGGGATGGGGATCATGTTGGGGAAGCGGGTGGCGTCGCCGTAGACGGTGGCGGATGAGGAGAAGACGATGTTGGAGACGTTGTGGCGGACCATGGAGGAGAGGAGGGCAATGGAGCCGCCGACGTTGACGCGGTAGTAGGTCAGGGGGATTTCACCAGATTCGCCAACGGCCTGAGGGGGATGTCATGTTAGTCTGGTTCAGGGGTTGGTTGTCCAGTGCTTAGACACGGTGGGTGAGTCGAGGGTGGGTGGTGGCTTCGTCGTACCTTGAGGGCAGCGAAATGGATGACATTGTCAATGTCGGGGTTCTCGTCAAAGACCTTGTCAAGGGCAGCCTCGTCTGTGATGTCGACTTGGTAAAAGGAGGGTCGCTTGCCGCAGATGAGCTCGATGCGGTTGCAGACCTCGGGCGAGGAGTTGTAGAGGTTGTCGACGATGACGACCTTGTAGTCTGCCTCGAGGAGAGCAAGGGCTGTGAAGGAGCCAATGTAGCCGGTGCCACTGTGTTGTCGTCAGTCGCGATTGTTGTGCTGTTGTGCGCCACGGTAACTTTTTTTTCTTCATTTTTTTTTCTAGGATACGAGCTGGAGAGAGTAGGGCAAGGTGGGGCCTCGCACAGCACCGCAGCTGCAGCCTGCGACTCCGAACCATCAGACATTCTCGCAGAATGGGAACCTCCCCTTCCCCTCTAGTGCCGTATCCTCTGCTCCCAGTAATACCTCCGCTCGACCCGTGGGACCCGCCGTAGTTATCAAGCCCAAACATGTTCTACGCGATGACTACACACGCTATGATACCATCACTACCTCTGAGAATTTGTCGCAAAAGAAACAGGACGATCATTCAAAAGAAAGCGGCGCCAATGCTCTTCGTCCACACGAACGCGAAATCGCCGATAGGAAGATCGAAGAACTTGAAAATCTAGTTATGTCGCTCGAAGACGACCGAGACGATGTTGACGGT